GCGGTATGTATTACGTCGGGTGAACGAGGATTGTGATCCTACCAGTTTACGTCTCTTTGGCAAAGCAATGTATCATGGACTTGATGCATTGCTGTTATTCAACTTGGAAGTTAGAAGAGTATGAGTTATGACACCTGTTAGGGGTGTCCTCGCGAAACCCCACTTCACAGAGTCCCTGTGTTGCTGTACGACTGACGGTCACCCAAACTTGGACACTGGGGGACTAGGGTTGTGGTGCGTGAGGGAAATTTGAATTCTACACACGTTCACTTTCTGTGTTCTTGAAACAGCATTTTGATTTCATCGGTTGTCAAATATGTTCTTGTCGAACCAAATATTATTGATCGACTAACACTCTGTTACTTTAACCGTAGATTTTTGGAATGTATTAATTAGATAAAAAACATAATATGTAAAACTGTCGCTACTCACTCCCAATGTAATGTAAGCTATAAAGTACTGTGGTTCTTTAATTAACCGTTGTTTTGAACAGGATTTACTCTATCATGGTTCATTATGAAGTGGGGATCCCGACTGCTATATAGGGACAGTACCGCTATTGGCGCTGTACGCGTACGCGCTATAAGTGTAGCGTCCCTGCACGCCATAATAATAAGAGTATAAAAAATTTTAAAATAATAATCAATAAAAAAAATCCCACAAAGCTATATTCATGCCATTTTATTGAGTTTGTGCAGTACAGATGTAATAACGACGACGATGTTGTCCTTTTGAACGGCCCGAGAGGTATCAGGGTCCCGTGAACTCGACTCACTCTCAGACTCAGACGTACGTGTCTTGTTGACAAAGTCTACGGTAAACGGCCACCAATGAGGTATACTCTTTTCCCAGTCTTGCGTATCCTCGACCACATATCGACGAGAGAAGTAAAATAAAGATATTACAACAAATCTTCTACAGGTGATGAAAACGACGATAAACGTGTTTTTTCCAAATTAACACCTTTTTTCATTTTACTGGATAAATCAGTCCAAGTCAAGTAAGGTTTACACTTATTACTTGGAAAGGATATCAAATTACCATTATGCAAATTAGAGACTAGGGAAGATTCTGGGTGGAGAGAAGAGTAGAGTGTCTACTTGGGGAATGAAACTCCCATGTCGTTGACGTAATACCTACGCTATGACAATCTAGTATCTAAGTCCATACTACTCAGTGGTCAATTCCTAGGTCTGCAGCACTGATTTTAGAAGTAGGCCAATTTATATCAAATTTTTGCGTTATATATTAGTGTCCCCCCATTCTTATGGTACTAGGTCAAAAAAATTATAGCACGTCGGAGTATGAAGTAGGGGTGCGAGTACGCCATAAAGAGAAATTACAAAATTAAAAGCATCATCTCTCATAATGAATGTCGTGAAGATAAAACTTACGCAAAGATTGGGTGAGCCTCGATCTTCATCTTTTACCTTCATTCCATTTTATTCTGGTTATTAAGACAGAAGACACAAAGATTTTCGCGCCACACACGCTACTCCTAGACACTCCACACACACCACACAAGCACACACACTACCAGGAGCAAAGAGTGGGCGACGTCCACCCCGCAGACGTCCAAGTCTCGAGTCGACGACGCGGATGGCTCGTGGCTGCGACCAAAGACAGACAGCCCCGCGACAGTACCTCGACGTCCACCTGCTCTCTCTCCTCTCTCTCTCGTCCTTATCGGTCTCCTGACGACGGACCGTTGTTCCACTCCGCGTTACTCTCCCCTCATCCCTCAGTAACTCCCCCGAAGTAGAGGAATTTGGTCCCACAGTTTGAGTTCCGGGCCGGTTTAGGCCGGCACTGACAGTAAAAGACACCGGGGTGTTTGAACGTTTGCTTCTAATATACAATAATACGGCTAAATGTACTTCGTGCAACAGGTAGTTTGATGTACAGGTGTTACTAGATTTATACGGAAAGAAAGAATCTTACGAGGAAAAGAGTCTTAACCTGATAAACAAAGGGGTCTAAGACCGAAAAATTTTTTTTTAGTAAACACTGTAACGGTGACCTCTGCTGAACGGTTAATAAACGAGAGTCTGAAGACGGAAAGTCTGCGATCAATATAATACTTGCAATGAATGGGATACGGACTATTATTTAGGTTACGTCATAGTAATTGTAAATAAACATATTTACATTATATTAGTGTAAGTAAGAGAGATATCCTAAAAACTATATCAGAGATTTCGATGTGGCCGGGGAAACTCACGTCGGATACGACTGACACGGCGCGCTACTTTGAACTGTCAAACTGTGGCAACGGAGTTGGTTAGACCACGAGGTGTGAAAAACTAACGGGAGTTAGGGTTTCATCTTACCTTTACCGGGGAAAGTTAGTTTAGAGGGTTCAAATTTGTAAAAGATTGTTTAGTATCAACTTTTTTTCGGTTATGTGGAACAAACATATGGTGTGAACCTTGTATGGACGGTAAGGAATTATTCTTAGACGCTCGAAGACAAATTCCTTACGTCGACGTTGTTGGAAAGAACATTTGGTTGTAGTCACTTTGGGATCTCTCGACACTACTTACGGCAACCAAAAGAATTCGTACAAGTTTGCGGAGTTTGGAGTGTAAACTATCAAAGTGAACGTATAAATAGTGTGAATTGATGAAATCCGTTATATGGTAGTGGACGCCAGAACAAGACTAGCGACCGGAATGTCCACTACTCAACGAACGGGAGGCACCCAAGACCTCTATAATACGTTACCCGAACGAGTTTTTATATATTGTTGTGAAAAGTGTGTTACGTTGTTTCTTTGCTCGGAATTGATATCGAGGTTGTTGTCTCCGTTTGAGTAGTGGTTGTATGGTGTTTTGTGAATCCATAAGAAAGAAGGAAAGAAGAAACA